TCAGCACAACAATTAGCTATTATTACACTTTCAATGTTTAACCAAACCGGTAAACAATAAAGTCATGATATCCATTATTTCAAATTAAAAAAAAATCTAAACTCTTTCATTTTTTATCCATTTTTTAATACAACTTTTTATGCAAATAACAGCTGCGCTCAGCTTCGTCTACTCACGTGGGAATGTTATTTTAACTTTTTTCAACTGCTTTATTGACTATAAGTATAACTCTTTGTCTTCAATAATTTATTTGAATTTTATGCCGAAACAATTATTTAATTATTTTACATAGAGAATAATAATACTTAATAGCATTGAGATTATGACTTAATTCTTGAGCGGTGTTTTTATCGGAAAATTGACAATTCATGTTAATTTAATACAACTTTAAATATTCATCTTTTTATCCTTTGATCTTTGGTGTATTATTGTCTTGTTGTCTCATATCACGTCTCCTTAATGTAATTTCAGCTTATAAGTTAAAATCATCAAGTATGCTATTAGAATACTAGTATCACTATATATCTTAAATTCTTTTTCAAAACGAATTTAGTTCAACCCTAGTAAGCAATTGTTTTGTCAAAATATCTTACCCTCTTCGTGTTAATTGTATTTGATTTCCTGTACGTATCATATCTTCCATTAAAAACATTCTTTTAAAAAATACATTCTTAATTAAATATAAATGAAATATATGGGATTATTCAACATGAAAGAACAATCCACTGAAATTTAAACATTTAACCTATACATATCAAAGATATCACGCTTTATTGATTCTTTTTTTTTGTATTTTTGCATCTGTGATATGTTGTTTTAGTCCAAGACGCAGATGCAAGTTGTGCTTCCAGATGTAAATACCGTTGTAGAGCAAGACGCTGTAGATATTATGTGTCAGTCAGATATGGATGGTTCTGCTACTGCAGATGTCTCCATTGTGCCAGTGAGCATACCATGAAATTCTCTGAAAATGAAGGGTAGGTTACAATTACTAGTATAACATCTATTAATTATGTATTTTTGGCTGCCTGCTTTACATTGGTAAATATCTTAAGCATACATCAGTGTGCAGGATTTTAAAATTAGGTTGATTTCAACATGTAAAATTCATCACACCATGTCAGTAAAACCTATCATGAACAGAGTTGACAATATTCTTGACAAGAGTAAAAGAGACAAGGTCTGACAGGAAAATGCTATGATTTCTACTTTGACATCCTTCGCGTAATGATGTTGAAATGCCATTAATTCCTTCATTTTCTTATTTATCCCATTTTATCTTCAGACCATCTGAGATGCCAGCACAGATAAATGAACATGAGAACACTGACCAATTCCAGGATATGCAGAAAGGTGAAATCGAGCAAGGTGAAACCGAGCAAGGTGAAACTGAGATATAAGGAGGAACATTTATAAAGGGACGTTAATATATGATTTGTTTTGGAATAATATTCTGATTGGACGTTTGTTGATATTCCATTCTCTTTCGTTTTACCTGTATTATATGTCATAGATTTCTGTAATTGCTTTCTGATACAATAAATTCTTACTAACACTTTTTTTTTAACTCAGTACTTAGTTAACAGTTACAAAAGATATTTAGTGACTCAGTATTTCATATGGAGAGAGTAGATGCGATTTTAAAAAGTTACCCGCAGAAAAGTTGTCACAATGGATCTCATTAAATGGTGACACGGTTAGTGTTTGTGTAAACCATCCATCCGTGAGGTGTTGGATAGCAATTTTCTTTTTTCTTTCTTTCATTTACTTTACAAATAAAAGATGTAGATGTACGACAATGAGATATCAACTCAAAGGTACAAAATAACATAAAGACATCTACAGATTCTACATTAGATAATGGATATATGAAAATGATAATAACCCAGCTACAAAAATAACAAACGACATCTAAAGGTCTATTTGTTTAAAAATTTAACGATGAGAATCCCCAAAATTTTTTAGGACCAGTTCCTAAAAATATTGGCTTTACAATCAATATACTGTGTAAACTGTGTGCGAAATACCACTTTATATCAAAAGAAGAATAATATATATGCAATTTAATATATTTCTCATTAAAATCAGGTAAAATATTTTGAGGGTTTATGATAGTCATATCCCATCTGTGAAAGAGTGTTTTTTAGTAAAGGAAATATAACATTCATAAAAATCTTAGACGTCATTGTAGCAATGTGCCTATAAACCAATTCAGACGAAGCCAACAAAAAAGCCGCTTTAAATTATCCAACCTGTACACCTACATACGAATAAAGGAGAGTTGGGTAAACGTCGCTTAGACTAACTTATTGTGTGCCTGTACCAAGTCAGACTATCATTTCCATGTGTTGTTTGTTGTTTTTAGTTTTTGTTTGTATGTCTATTTTCTCGGAGGAGATGGGTGTAAGTCGTTGGTGTAATCTGTTGTAATTTCAAGTCTTTTGTATGAGTATCTTGTTTGAAAGAGTATTGATAGAGAAGGACGTAATTTGAGGAATATTATTTGTGCACTAATACTTCTTTGATAATAAAATATTTGCTCAAGTTGATGGAGAGGTCTAGCAACAAACTATAGGCTTTACAAAGATTAAAATGCCATTGAAATATGCGCTGCTCCTTGTAGGTTGATTCAAGACTTTTTTGAATTTGTTTAAAGCTGGAAAGATGTAAAGTCACAATTAGTGATATTATTGAGACAATAAACTATGTTTTATTGCGGGGAATAGACCTATAATCTCGTCACCCTTTTCCTGACATTTTTTCTTAGACCAATTGATTTCAGGAACTGAAGTTTCAATCTTGATAAACCATTTCAATATAATGTACATCTTTCATTTTTCCTATGTCCAATCTCTTTAAATTTTTAAAAAATACAAAGCTTTTAAACTGCGTATTTACTTAGCCGGATACGATTAAGTTGTTCAGTAACATTTATTTTCCTCCCGATCGGAAACTTATTTGATCAATAACATCAAATGTTCGGGTCAACATAACAAGTAAACAAATACGAATAATAGGACAAGGACAAAATGCTTGCTGTAAAAGGACTGTTGCATTTAAGTGGGATGATTGAGTGCTGATAGTTTGTCGACATGCTTTGTCCAATGATCAATTTTAAACTGCTGTTAAATACATTCTATTGAATTCTTGTATTTTTTATTTGTAAATTTGTTTTTTGGAAGAGGGCTGGTATGGTGCAGTTGGCTTGCACTTACTTATATCTTTTATTATTGCTGTAGTACAGTGCCATTTTCTTCCTGTTGCATCTACTATCCATTTAATGTTAACATTCACAATTTGTTTTCTAAAAGTTTTTTATAGCTCATCTTACATCATGGATCTTTGCTTATTTTTGGAGGTTATGATCGCCTGTATATTTTTCACTGTTTTCTTTTGTTTAAAAGAATTTTGAATGTATATGCCTTTAATAAATATCGTAGAAATTGAGTTAATATATAATTATTAAAGCATGACATGATTTCATATCAGCAGGTTAAGCACTTTGTGCTTGTTTTAAGTAGATGATATGTGTTACCACGTCTTAGATTGTGATTTACCATCTACGTCGTCTGGTCTACTTAGTACCGAACGTAGCCTATTCCCGAATATTACTGTTTTGCCGAGTGTGAATTCGCATTGCTATACGACTTGCCTCGGTATTTATATATCCAACATTCATGTATTTAGTTATGATGTTTCTTTTGTAGGTCCGGTTGGATATTTTGTTATGTCTTGTGTTCGCTGTTGGAGACGACGTGGTTCGGTATTTATATATCCCGCTTTCGGGCATTTTGTTGTTACTTTCTTATACGTGTGGGTCCGGTTAGTCACTTGGTGCTGATTTGTTGTCTGTATATTTCGTTTGTAGTTTGAATTCTGTATTTTCGGTACATTCCACATATGTCTTATTTGTCAGTATAGTCGAGTTACTCGTGGTTCTTCTACAGGGTTTTTGTTTTATGTTGTTTGTTTTCATGTGTGTTTACTTTTTGGTCTAACATGATCTTGCCTTATATTACATTTTTTTTAATTTTTATTTTCTATATGTATGTTAAAGTTAAGATAAAAAATTAGCTACTTCATTTAAAGGATTTTAAGTTTAAATCAACTATATGCACAGGATTTTCTTGTTTATACACAGTTTTGATTTAAAAGAAAAACCAACATGGTTAGAAAATATTAATAATAACACCATTACAAACACAATACCATTTTAATATTCTTGTCATGGTTAAAAGATACATAAAATAACACCATTACAAACTCAATCCCAATCTAATATTCTTGTACGTGTCTATAAATAAAACAAATCTATTATGTTTTTAGAAATTTACCTGTGATAATATAAACGTCATAAGAAATACGTCACTTTTTCAGACGTTGATTCATTCATGTGACGCGCAGTTTATTTTTCGTTTGTGGTGTCCTGGTGTGCTGTCGTAAATTCATGGGAGGTGTCCGTTGTTATTCTGCGGTTTACATGTTGTAATGTACTATTATATTATGTATTTATGTTTTTCTCTGTGCTGAGTGTTCTTGCATTTGTTTGTACTGTATTCCTGTCACGTAGTGTTGTCATTTTAGCTGTATTTGTAACATTGCCATTAAAGCGGGAGGTTTGGCTAGCCATAAAACCAGGTTCAACCCACCATTTTTTTCTTAACATGTCCTGTACCAAGTCAGGAATATGGCAGTTGTTATCAGACAGTCCGTGTCTATGTATGTTAGCGTTTGCTTTTGTTGTAGTTTAGTGTTTCTGTTGTTCCGTTGTTTTCCTCTTATAGTGGATGTGTTTCCCTCGGTTTCAGGTTGTTACCCGGATTTGTTTTTGCTTAATCGAATTATGACTATTGAACAGCGGTATACTACTGTTGCCTTTATATTTCAAAATCGTTCGTGTAGTCTTTTCTATTATTTATGGTTATTTTTAATGTGTTTTCAATGTTATACTTAATATTTAAACGCCTTAGATTTCAGAAATAATACAGTAATAAAACAAGTTGAATTTCCGTCGTAGAAACCAAAGCCCGTCCGCCGGAATCGTCATTTCTGGATCAAATATTATAAAAACCGCTAATTTTTCAATTTACTTTCACAGCCTGCTGACTAGCTGAATCATTAACGTAAGGTAGGTAACTTTTTCAAAGTAGACTGTATCACTGTATGTAGACAGCGATATCATAATAACCAAAACGTAATAATCTTTAGAAATAGACGAATTATATCTTACCTTTTCAATAAATCAGCCCTGAAACGAGAAACTAATTAAACATGCAGAATTTCAAAGATCAGCTGCTGAATTTATTCATCTTCATTTTAAATTTATAACCTCCTAGCAAGGTGTAGAGAATTTTTCTTGATTCATTTATTGACTCTTTAAACCATAATTTGAAAAAAAAGTTCTATATTTTACCGTTTACTAAAGTCTTTTTTTTTTGCTAGAGATTTCGTATTTGATACTACCATAAAGTCTACTGTGTTAAAATTTATTATTCTTTGCGCTTTCTTTTTGCGTGGCATATCGTTTTTGACATATATTGCAAATGTGTAACAGCCCTTCCAATTTCAGAATAATATTAACGTTCCTTTGGATCCAATATGAAGGTAGCAATTATTCTGGCTATTGCTCTTGCAGTACTTCTTATAGGTATGTACATAATTTTTGTTTCTATAATTTAATGACATAATAACTTTTGAAAAGCTGAGTAAAATATTAAGTCCTTTCTGCGTTTTATTTGCTCTATAAGGAACGATTACGGCAAAATATTTGATACAGCAGTTGAAGTATGAGTATTCATGGGGCGTAATATCAGCAAAACTGAGAGTGAAAAGGATGAACCAAATTGTGACGGGATGAATAAACAAAAGCATGTTAAAAGAGACAAACTTCACAAAAAAACACAAACATTTATGGTTTGGTTATATATTCGTCAACAGTTCCCTGAAATATTAGCTCATATTATTGATAACATCTATGTTTTGTTTTTTGTTTTTTAGTTCATGAGACAGATGCAGGTTGTGCTTCCAGATGTAAATCTCGTTGTAGAGCCAGACGCTGTAAAGGTTATGCGGCAGTCAGTTATGGAAGACGATGCATCTGCAAATGTTTCCGTTGTGCCAGTGAGCATACCATGAAATTCCCTGAAAATGAAGGGTATGTTGCAAAATAAATAATATTTAATTTTGTACTTTTTGACTGCCTTATGTACTGTGATAAATATTGTATGCATAGATCCGTTGACAAAATTTGAATTGTCAAAGTGATTTCCCCTTTTTTATCTCCCTCTTTTTGACCGATTGAATGAGACAAGGATATATGAGATATCTTGCCGTACGGAATAGAGAGGCGAAAGATACCAAAGGGACATTCAAACTCATACGTTTGAATGAGAACCATCCAAAAAGCTAAATCAAATTCTTTAAGGTGTACATATGGAGGCCTTCTCCAAACATATGAAGTAGATTAAGCCTCCTTTGTTAGTCAATACGAATCTGATTATTTACATATAACGCACATATAAAAGACACTAGACGATTTTTTTTATTTTAACCTTTTGCATCCGATAAACAATTTCGATTCTTGATTTTTTTTTTTTGCATCTCTACTGAACCTACCTTGAAATGGTAACTGAATCGCTATGTAAGTAATACCGATTATAAACTTCAGAAGCGGATTAAGGAGAACCAGAGGGCTAGGAGACCTTAAGGAGATACATAAATTATAAATGCATAGTATCACTCCAAACGTTGGCTTTCTAGGGGGGGCCCGTTTTTCAAAATCCCTGATCCGTCCCTGAACATGGTTGACTATTCACTTGGCAAGAGTAAAAGAGACAAGCACTGCAAGCCCACCTGTGATTTCTACTTCAATCAACATCCTAGACATACAGTAACAAAAATGTCAACTACAGTCTTTTCCTTTCTTTATTTATAAAATCATTTTCTTTTTTAGATCATCTCAGATGTTTCCACAGATAAAAGACAATGAAAACACTGAACTCCCCCAGGATATTCCGAGAGGACACACCGATCAAGGTGAAACTGGCATGTAAAAGGAAGGTTCAATGAAGTGATGAGGACCCGTTCTGATTTAACATTATATAGTATTACTTCTTTTTGTTCGAATGTTTTTCAATTCGATTTCTGTTACTGTAGTTCTGATACAATAAATACTAATTATAAATAGAACTGTGTTTTAACTAAGTATATAATTTACAGTTCCAAAATAATTTTGTGACATAGTATATTACATCCGAGAGAGTAGATTCCATTAAAAGCAATTACCTGTGTTTATGTTACAATGGATTTAAAAAATGGTAACGTAGTTGTGACCGTTTACATCCAACCTGTAGACTAACTTTTTTTTAAAATGCATAACTTTTTTTTCCTTTTATAAATAAAATATGAGGGATCTACGTCAATGAGATAGCAACCCAACGTACAAAACATATACATCTAGATGACAATGTATGGCCTTCAACAAAAGATAATGGTCTTTACAATATCATGCCATGGTCTAAATCGCCCACAGTATAAAAAGTTGTCAATGAATTAAACATATACTATCAAAGATCAGCTCTCCATACCAAATTCCCAACATGCCAAAATATACGATATAGCAAAAACATGCGGTGAAGCTAAACCCCTTTTTATTCTCGATCAATGGACTAACAAAAGGTATACTAAAGAACGCAAAGTCAAATTCAGAACAGGAAAAACACTCATCTCTTTAATATCGATATTAAAGCTAACACAAGTAAAAGCAAAAATTATGATAAACAGTATCGCACAAAAGAAAGCTCGCAGTTACTTAAAGCAACCGCAAATACTTAACCTGCTGCTATATAGTCCTGTCGTCCTACATTCTTATATTTGCGGTTGTACTTCACAGAAGGTTTGAAAGGCAGGATATTGTGCTATGCCAGTAATAAATTTTAGTCCTGATGAAGGGAAATCCAGGAAAGCGCTTCGGACGCATGAAATTATAAAGTGTTTTATTTTTTTTTAGCACTGGGTCGATACCACTGCTATTGGACTATCAGTTCCCGAAGGTATCATCAGCTCAGTACTGACAGTAGTCAGTACTTCGGTACTGGCACGATTTGTTACAAACATATTTTAAATTGTCCGTTTATAGATTTTGAAATTATCCAGAAACTAAGATTTTAACTCCCTCAGGCAAAGTTAATCTTAGATGGATTTGGCTATTATTTTTGAGGTCCTAGGAACTCCAATGACCTTAAAATGTGCGCTGCTCTTCGATTATGTGTTTCAAGAAAATGTATGAAGCAGGAAAGTGGAAATACATAGCTAACAATATTACTTCTTCATTGCTGGATATAGACATATAACTTTCCCTTGCCTTTTTCCGATACTAAAAGAAAGTGATTGTATGCACTGATCTTGCAATCAAATTTATAATGTACATCTACAAATACTCATATGTCCATTCTTGTTTAGTTTTAAATGGTCATCAACTATACAAGGTTTCTACCAATACTCATATGTCCATTCTTATTTAGTTTCCAATGGTCATCAACTATACAAGGTTCATAAACTGCGTATTTACTTATTTGATCCCTTGGAGGTTGAAGGGTGCCTTTTGTTGGAAAATTCATGGTCTTATTGAGATTTATAGATAGACATTTTTTTGCTGCGGTAAAACGATGGTACAAAATGGGTTCATTCTTATACACGACTTTGCTTGATTTTTCTGCATTTTTTTCCTTTAAAAGAGTAGTCCTGAACTTTGAGAAAGATCATAATTTTCTTTTTTCATTTTTTGTTTGTTTTTGTTTTTAAAGTTTTATGAAATAACAATATTAAGGTGATCTCCCATTTAGTATTATTGCGTATCACATAGCTCTCCTTAAATAATCAGGTCCAATCTGAATGGCTCATCAAAGAATGCGTCAACAACTGTTTTTTCCTCTAATGGGTCAACATTTATTTATGTAATATCTAGAAAGGAAAATACTAAAAATAGGCAAGTTTGTCGATGTTGTCAGGGAAAATTAGTATAAAACAATATTTGTTAAAAAGAGAGTTAATGAAGAACAGATTCTGTATTTTTTATTCAACTTTAAATGTTTGCTTGTCCAGGCAGTTTGAGCAGCAGTTAATGGCTAACCATGATAGACATGACAGTGTAGATTATTCAATATTTGATTACAATGTTTAAGCTTTGGAGAAGCTACAATTATGTCGCATTTGTATGGATTTCAAAAATGACTACATTCGACTATAAATTAATTACTCATCAGTGAAAACTAAAATAAAAAAGTAAAAAGACAAAATAAAGTACAAAGCTAAAGAGCATTTATGACCGGCAATACGGAAAGGTTTTGCCAAATACACCTAAAGGTAACTACTATCCCACTCTAGTGACAATGTTTCTTTTCCGATAGGCACCAGAACTCAAACTTAGCAGAGAAACACCAAAGGTGCTCACTTTGCATTTTAGTGTGCAATATGATTTTTGAGAAGCTGATTGTTGATATTTCTGGTATGGATTTATTATGTTCCACTATGGGAGTAATTTCTTATTCCAGGGTGGCATTCAAAATTGCAAATACTCATATAGGGTCACCACAGCTACATAGTGTTTAAATATGTGAGACAACTGCTGAGAAGAAGCTTTTTATATGTTTCTCATAGTTCTATGCTTAACTGTTTTCAGTGGTGGTGGCCATCTTGAATTTGAATTGGTAGCATACACTCAAAATTGGTTTAAGGCTATCTATAGATCATTTCTACAGAATATTTCAAATTAAAATGCAAAAATAAACCTAAGAAAATCTTTGCAATTTTAGGTAATCAGAATAGATTTTTGACCCTTGCAATCAATATAAATTTCAGATCGACACCAACAAAATACGATTTGGTGAAGTACCTTCAAACATGAAAATTCCTGCCAATTTTGGTTGTAGCTGGCAGAAGATTTAAGTATGAAACGTTTTCAGACGATTTATCAAAAGTAATGGCAATTCCTCACATGCTAGGTGAGCTAATACATTCTAGGTGCACAAACTATAATTTTATTGTGTGTCTAGAAATGTTTTCTGCGTAGACTCGCAAAAAGTAAAATAACAAAAATACCGAGCTCCAAGGGAAATTCAAAACGGAAATCCCTTTTCAAATGGCTAAATCAAAAGCACATCAAACGGGTTGAAAATATATAATGATTTTTTTTTTCATATATAATATTACTTTTAATAAAATGGTAAATTCAATATATTTGTTCATGATTATAGATTTTTAGGAGAAAACAAGAAATATGAAACATAAAAATTTAATATCATGACTATGATATTTGACTCAATTTGAAATGCAAAATAATACTGCATAATCAATTTTGTTTACAAAATTTTGTTTTGTAGAGAAAGATATAAATAATGAACCTAGAAGAAAAGTGTAGATGAAATTAGGAGCATGCAGTTTTTACGTCATGAAATAAAAAATAGTGCAGTGCTGTTATTACCTAAAAATTAGATTTAACAAATAAGTTAAACAATGAAATTTAATTTTAAACTCAGTTAGGCCTTGTGAGTTTCGTCCCTTTACATGAATATGATGTAAACATGAATGATCAGTTGAACTTGGGACTCTTCAAAGGCCAGTACAGATGGTTGAAAATGGGTGTCAAAAAAACCTGGCATCATACATGTATTGAAATAATCCTTGTTTTGTATTTGATTATGCTTTCCTTTATTTGGCTGTTTGACAGACAAATAATATTAAGTTCAAATGGAAATATAATGCTGAACAGTTTATGTAATGCTTCAATAGTACCATGTGCTGACAGTTGTTAAAGAGATTTATATATAGATTATGCAAAATGTTTCAACCATCTTACCTTAAAGTTTATATTTATCTTGTACATGCAGATATGGGTGGTCTGTTTTCAAATCTTAATTCTATACAGAATGTATTAGATACAAAACAAACGACTGATCTCAATGCAAAGAACTTTAAAACTAGAAAGAGAGATACTTTGTAATACTGGCCATAATCATGATACAGTGTAACTTGCATTATCACTGTTTGTTACCAAACTGGGTAGAGATCCTGACAAAATCACGCTAAACACTTCTATCAGATGTAGAATACAAAGAAAGAAAAGAAGCTGTATTTAACATATTCAATACAAAGCTA